AGGTGGAAGTGAAGATGGAGGAAGAGGGAGAGCAGAGGGAGAGATAAAAGTGTGACAGTCTACTCTATCAAAGCACAAGTGTGGGGGGCTGGGGAGTAGGACATAGGAAGTAAGAGAGAATAGGAAAGTAATCACTATAAGGAAGGTGGTCCAAAACTGACAAATGACAGTTTAGAGGAGGGGAAGGAGAGCAAAGAGAAAGGTCAAAGCATGAAAGGGTTTGGGTGCGCATGTCAAAGTGAGTGGGGTGGTCTGCATTAAGAAGGATAAGGTCAGTGTTAGAAAGAAAGTCTTCTGTATGCGCCCATAAAGAAAATACAGAATTTAAGTTAAATCCAAATCCACAACACTTGTACTAAAGATGCAAGAGACACAAATCACAGTAAATTTGTTATTCTATTATTCCATTAAAATAACGTGTACACTGGGAATGTTTTTCCTACTTAATGTTGCCTTTTCTGTGCCTTTACGCTCCTGAATTCTCTGTGGGATTCATTTTTTTTTTTTTCTGAGTTATATCCCACAACTTATTAGAATACATACCAATGAATTTTCACATACATCTTTGACACAAAAATGTAAGAACTTGTTTTGTTACTACTAAGAATGGTTAATGTAACCAAGAGCGATGCACAGAATTAGAGGGAAATCGACATCAACATCTTATAGAGAAAAAGAAATAGTAATAAACAATACATGTAGAGCTGCTTCAGCCTCAAATTTATTGCAGAATGACAAAACTAGCTGTATATCACCAGAGACTTAAGTTCACAACTCTCTCACACCGATCGAGTTCTTAATGTTTGTTTTCTATAAGTTGGTAAGAAGTGCTATTAAAAGGGGGGGTACAGGGAGGGCTTCCCCTCAGTCAAGGGAATAAATAGGGGATAAATAGAATGTTAGAAAACTTATGTTTGTTTTTTTAGGTTCGCATGATACCCTAGTATTGGCACTCTTGGTAACAAATACTCTAAGAATTAAAGTAATGGCAACTCAACTCATATTTTCCATGATGTTATTATGCATTAATACATGATTGGTGGGATTAACTGGTTAATGTTAATGAGAGCAATGTTCAAAAACTGAGGAAAATGGACATTGCTCTCTTATAGAGCAAAAAAGAATAGAGAATGATGGACAGAGACAGAGGGCAATAGACCCTACCATCTTGTAGATCATAAGAAATAGAGTCACTGTACACACAGGTACAGCTGCTCTGGCCTCACATTTACTGCTAAATAATGAAAATATCTGGTGCATATCATTGCTCAGAGACCAATTCCACGACACCCTCACACAGCCAGAGTTCTACAAGGGGGGGGGGGGGGCTTGCCCTTTCTGTTTAGGGAACAAATACGAAGTAGGAAAGGTTAGATTTGGATTTTGGGCTTCACATGACGCCCTAGTTTTGGGACTGTCTCTCTGGTGGGTGCGTCACGTCATTAACTGGCTCGTACTGCACATGCGCGGGATAAAAAAAAAAAAAAAAAAAAATATATATATATATATATATAGCTTAAAAGTTAATGCCAGATTAATTTTTACGATGTACACAGAAAACGCTATGAGAAAGTAAGACCCTTAATCCAGTGTGGCTTATTGGAAACAACCTAGCTTTGCCAAGGTCAAATAGGGAGAGGAAGACCAAGCAACTATAAATAGCAGCAGGACGAATATTACACCAACACGTAACAATTGACGGTATTTCATAACGGGGAAACACATGCAAATTGGGGGGAAAATAAAGAGCCTAGCAGGGCAATCAAGCAGGCTAATCACCTTGCCAAATCTACCAAATATATGTCTTAAAGTCAACTTTTACTTTTTAAAGGGAACTGCAAACTCGGAAGCGCAGACGTCAATCTTTACCGGATATCCCTTTTCCTTGTTTCCATTCCTATAGGTTACAAATCATCAGAAATTGAATACAAGATAAAAATGATACAAGGGACTACGGTAATGTACAGATCATAGGCCTACATCTCTCTTAATTCGCGAAACAGGAAAATGGTCCACCCGGCGCCGAACCCAGTATGCGCAAGGTGACCTTCCCTACAAACCTCTATATCGTTCTCTCATCAATAAGAAGGCAATTCTCAAAGTCTAATGAACTGAAAGGTTTTATACCGAGAAGACCACGATTACATATGGAATACACATTAAAACAGAGAGATGGGAGGCCTCACCAGCGATTTCGTCACTCGTGCTGCCATGATGCCGGCCAATCTCCTACTGGAAGGCCATTCCGAATCCCTGTTTAATTATTGTAGGATTTTGTGGTTTTATGAGCCTCCGTGAAATTCTGAGTTAAATTTTTTAATTAGTAGAGGGTAATTATGTATTTTTTGGCAGGTATATAGGAGCAAATATTAAATAGGCAATTTGTGAGAACATATTTTTTTATATAGTCCTCTCATCTACTCAAGGCTATTTAGAAATAGTAATTGATTGGTATTCATATTCTACCATTTTGTCATGTATAATATATAAAAAGCATTTCATGTAAAAAAAATTTTACATTTTATCTATTCAATGGTTTCGGATACAGTCGTATTGATCAGCGGTTAGAGCAAACCCAAATTGACAAAAGAAAAAAAAATAGCTACTTACATTTTAAATTAATAAATATAAATTAATAATATTTAAAAAATACTAAAAATGAAACAAAAGGTAGAAACACTTTAAAAAGATATATCCCTCCCAAGGCGTTTGCTGGCAGACGGTGACAATCCACAGCTGAGTGTAACCAAAAGTTTCACTCCCGTTCCCTTCGCGACGCCGATTTAACGTCTCCTTCTCCCTCGATTTCATATTTAGTTGACTGACGATGTCGGACACCGAGCAGAAGGCGGAGGGTGGAGCTCTCGAGAAAGTGGAAGAGCAGTCGCCCGAAGGAGGAGAGGAAAAGAAAGAGGTGAAGGGAAGAGAACCAATATGGATGCGAAAACAAAAACACTTCTTGGCGTAAATATTTAGGGAGTTTGGGCTGTTTGTCGAAATTGAATGGATTTTTAAATCAAAATTGCTGATAATCGATCATGAACGGGTCTGAGCCTATGCTGTGACGTCGAGTAATTGGCAACGGAAACTAATTTGAAGAGAATCGCGTTGGGTCAGGTTTTTCATTTACTTATAAAAAAAAAATTATCAGTATACATTTATATACTTTTCGTCCCTACTTTTCATTTATTTTTACAGTCATTTTTTCAGAATACCTTCGCATAACCGATCGCGACGATTTTGGATCGATGGATACCATTAATATCTCTACACATGTATCATAATTAACCTCCCCATTAAAGACCATCTTGGCCCAGACAGCAGGCAGGGCATGAGAGGTACCAGGGATATTTGCAGGAAAAATACAAATAGCATACACGGAATCAGTCACTATGTCCTTTAATGCAGGGGCTGTTCCCCCTTCCCCCCCCTGCAATCCCCAATGGAAGACAAAAAATTCTTCGTTTACTCATTGTCTGGGTAGAATGTGGGACTGACATGCGGGAGCGCCGATCTGTCAGACGTGCTATCCTGCTGTATATACACGGAGGGTTCTTTGTTTTCCGCAGCAGGGGTTGGGAGCAGCAGCCTTTTGCATTCAGCCGTAGAGTGATGTATCTTCATTATGTTAGTTTACCCCACGATTTCCCCAGTGCCTTCCATGCCCTACCCGGCTATTGGAGCCAAGAGTGAGTGGGTTTGGAGGGGGGGGGGGTCAATGGTATAATTCCTACATATGTATGTACTAGAGGGTGAGAGAAATCCGTTGATACCGAAATCACTGTGATTGGTTATATGAAGGTAATGTGAAAAATTGCCATTTTTATATTTGATATCACAGATTCTTTTTACTTTAATTTACTTTAGTGTCAGATATCCAACTACAAAATACTTTTAATTTACTTTTGCGTAAAACTATAATTTTTGGTTTAGCCTCAAAATATTTGTTCACCATGTATTACTGTAATGTCTTAAGAAAATGCTTATAACAATGAGTCAGATTTGGTACTTATAAACACAATATTAAGAATTTAGGAAGCAGTTTTGGATACATAATATCTAAATTATCATACATTTGCAAGCATTTCTGTGCTAGGAATCTCTGAGGAATAATGTATATTAAAATTCTTTTTTACAATACTTGGTTGAATCTTTGGAAATATTACTCATCAGACAGTCACTGGACCATCCATACTGTTGGTGATTGTTGGAGGTGTGGTAATAAGACAGCTGAGGTCCATGGCTTTTCATCGGTTGTTATGTCAAGCAGGCTGATTGTCGATTGGTCAGTCGACTACTGATAATATCTCGTCTTGGCAGGCTGTGAAATTATCTTACAATATAATCTATGAGCTTACAGTTTGCATACCACATTGTAAAACCTTTTTGAGTATAAGTTGTTTACAATGTAAGAAGCAGATTGGAATGTACATTGTAGTAATGTGGTTACTATATCCTCGACCTTGTAACGGACAGGTTGTTTTGAATATCCTGACCCTGGCTTGCCTTGCTCCCATAAATTTTTTTACGAAATTAAACCTTTATGGCACTGGATGTAGATTTAAAATTATACAAGAATAGCTCATAAAAAGGGAGAGAGGGGGACTTGCAGCACCCCAGAAATTGATTGTGCTCACTTCACTAAACAACCTCCCACTCCTAGAAAAAGCTGAAACGATGCCCCTTTTGTCATTGAAATAGGATAACATTGATGTACCCTGCCCTGTGGTACAGGGTTCATCAGTTCAGTTCTATAGATGACAAAAGAAACTAATATATTCTGAAACTTCATGTTTTAAGGAAGATTTAATTGCCATGAGCACCAAGTAATAACCATAAATTCACTAGAATGATAAATTTATCATTTTGCCCTCGCATTTCACCAAATAAATGTTCTTGTCACAGAGTGTAGGCCTATATATATAAAGATTGGGAATATGATAACTGTTGTTAATTTATAGTTGATTTGGTGGTATTTACTGAAAATCCTGACTGATGTTCATATTGTAGATAATTAAGATCCATGCCAAAACATTTGCTTCTTCTAGAGATGGGTTGGTAATGGTGGCCTTTATCATCATTTTGTATTTTAGAGTTCAATCTTTAGCTAATGTATCTGATTGAATGGAGAGGGTCCGGTAATTACTGATTCAATCAAAGCCAGTGGAGAGACTATTATGAATCTGTTGGGCAGTTCAGGGCTAAGATGTAAATGAACAATTAAATTGTCAGATAATTTAAACATTGCATAGGTTGCAAAGACGTTGCATAGAAATAGGTAGAACAAAAATGGAAGAGTGCATGTGAAGAGAAATCATATTGCTTAAATATCCTCGCCAGGTAGTGAATATATGTCATGAATATGAATTTGTAGCCCATTGGAATCCGTAAGGGGAAAGTCTAAGAGAAAGCTGAGGAATGGTGCAAATGATATTAGATTAGTAGTTTGTGTACTTTCTCTTTTTATTTATTTATTTATTTTTATCTAAATGTTACATGAAAAGGTCTATAAATATTCACATTTGAAATTAAAAACATTGCAATGGAGCCCTACCCCTTCCACGTTCACTTTCAACTCATGTATTCAGAGCACATTGATAAGAGTAGAGGGCATGCATTTCAAATACAAAAGTCAGAACTTGCAAATTCACATAAGTTGTTAACTTGAGATTGGAGTGAACTTGGTAATCTTTCTTAGGGCTAGAATACACCTAGAATTATTGTATATGTGTGTATATATATGTTTATATGTCTATACATGTATACATATATATGTGTATACATGTGTATATATATATGTGTGTGTGTGTGTTTGTGTTTGTGTATGTGTATATGCATGTGTATATGTATATGCATGTGTATATGTATATGCATGTGTATATGTATATGCATGTGTATATGTATATGCATGTGTATATGTATATGCATGTGTATATGTATATGTATATGTATATGCATGTGTATATGTATATGTATATATGTATATATATATGTATCTATGTATGTATATATGTGTATATGTATATATGTGTATATCTATATATCTATATCTATATCCAAATGTATATATATTATATATATATGATAAATGTATATATATTATATGTATTATATATGTATATGTGTTATATGAATTATATTTGTGTATATATATTGTATGAATTATATTTGTATATATATTATATGAATTATTTATGTATATATATTATATGAATTATTTATGTATATATATTATATGAATTATATATGTATATATGTTGTATATGTTATATAAGTATATATATTGTATATGTTATATAAGTATATATATTGTATATGTTATATAAGTATATATATTGTATATATTATATAAGTATATATATTGTATATATTATATAAGTATATATATTGTATATATTATATAAGTATATATATTGTATATATTATATAAGTATATATATTGTATATATTATATAAGTATATATATTGTATATATTATATAAGTATATATATTGTATATATTATATAAGTATATATATTGTATATATTATATAAGTATATATATTGTATATATTATATAAGTATATATATTGTATATATTATATAAGTATATATATTGTATATATTATATATAATGTTCATATATATATATTTTATATATTATATAAGTATATATATTATATATATTATATATATTATATAAGTATATATATTGTATATATTATATATGTATATATATTGTATATATTACATATGTGTATATATTATATATGTGTATATATTGTATATGTATATATATTGTATATATTGTTTATGCATATATATTGTATATATTATATATGCATATATATTGTATGTATTATATATGCATGAATATTGTATATATTATATATGCATAAATATTGTATATATTATATATGCATATAAATGTTCATATATATTATATATGCATATAAATGTTCATATATATTATATATGCATATAAATGTTCATATATATTATATATAAATGTTCATATATATATTATATATAAATGTTCATATATATATTATATATAAATGTTCATATATATATTATATATAAATGTTCATATATATTATATATTATATATATGTTCATATATATTATATATTATATATATGTTCATCTATATTATACATTATATATATGTTCATATATATTATATATATTATATATATGTTCATATATATTATATATATTATATATATGTTCATATATATTATATATATATATATATATATAT